TAGAATATCATGGATGCAATAGGAAATCTTACTTACCTTTTTGATCACTTAGATTGGAGGATGAAAGAACACTGTGATCATACGGGACGAATTGAAGCAGGTTTGGTGCAGATGTTCAAGAAGAATGAATGGATTGATGAAAATTCGATCGATCGATTCCCGTATCGACCCTTCTACAATTTGTATGTACATTACCAGTCTATGGGAGATATTAGAGAAGGAGACGATCCTGAAGTTGAAGAAGAGTAATTGAATAAGTTGGACAACCCATTATTTAAAATTAATTATGTTTTTAATGTAATTGTGTTGGATTTGCTTTGCTTCAAAACTCCTATAACTTTAATTGTATGTATAGTTTATTTTTCAGTGTTCCAATATTGTGGCTTGATTTTGATGTTGTATTATAGTGTGATATGCTTTATGTATGTGTGAGAGTGATTAAAAATCTGTGTTTTTAAGAATTTCGAATTTCATATATAAAAGATGGTTTTGGATTGTTTGTAAAAACATTTATCTGTGGACTATTTAAGGATGAATATTATTGTTTAAAAAGACTAATTAGACGTTAAAGGGAATTTGAAATAACTGATGTGCGAAAATTATGGAAAATTTTTATTTTTAGCACTGGCACTGACGGCGCTCGAGACCCGAAAATTCCCAAATACCTTGAAATTTTCGTGAAACGTCATTTTTACCCTCTTCAGTCACCTTCAACCTTCAGTTTACACCCCTAGGGCTTGCAAACGCTTGGATTTAAAGGGATTAGAATACAAAAGGAGTTTGGATTTCATTTTCTCTCGGTAAGACCTGCACTTTGAACTAAATTTTTTTTATTTCCACCAAGGATTTCTTATACATTGCTAACATCCAAAATTTTCAAATTTTAAGGAGATTTTGAAAAAATCCTTTAGTGAAGAACTCTTACTTAGTGGATTTAAGTTTAGAACGTTCCACATTGTGATTTTCAAAATTTTTGGAATTTATTTGGATTTTATCAATTTTTCTTCTTTCTTCCAAAGATTACAATAGCACCAAAGATGAGCAAAGGAAAGAGGAAATTAGAATTTGATGACCAAAAATTCGCCAACTACAAAGCTAGCATTCATTTCAATAGTCTACTGAATACAAAGAAAATAATTTAGGATCAAGCGTTCAAAATTTCGGGCAGTGAAGTTGAAAGATTGATTGTTGCTCAGCAGTGGGAGAATTTTTGTTACTATACTGTCGAAGTTGTTATTGGTAGAGTCATGAATTTCTATGCCAATTTTAAGGAGACTTTTGATGACCACGTCTATGTTCGTGGTAAAATGGTTGAATTCGCCCCGAGGAGGATTAATGAATTTTATCAGTTGCGAGAAGCATTTCTCTGTAAGTACAACACATTCTCTGCTACAAATGAGGCTTTGGATGAAGTTATTTCATTTCTTAATGATGGAAGAGGAGCTTGGAAAGTGAAGAATAACGTTAAGGTAAACTTCCTTGGTTCTATGTTAAATGTAATATCCAAGGTCTTTCATTACTTTATATCTGCCAGAATGATACCTACAAATCAACATAGTGAAGTTACTAAGGATAGAGATATCCTGAACTTCTGTATCCAACAGATGGGCAGTCTAGATGTTGGATCTATAATCTATAGGAACATTCATTCTATTGCTATGGGTGAGACTACTAGTGGATTAGCACACCCTGCTCTGATTTACACAATATGTGAACAATCAGGAGTTAATTTTAGAATTGATGAGGAAAGGATTGAGCTTATTAAATCTATTGGGCCAACAAATAATAAAACTTATAAATCTCATGTTGGATGGAGAACGGGAAGTAGGAGTAGGGATATTCCTTCTACTTCTAGCACCCCTACTCTCCAGGAACTTATGGAACAGATGATGATCCAACAGGGAGATATCTTAAGGATGGAGAACATGATTGAAAATTTGGAGTCCAGGAATGCACATAATGATAATTTAACAAAGCAAAAGTTTGAATATGATGCTACATATGATGATGCTATGGTGAGATACATGAAGGGTGACCACTCATTACAGTTTCCTAGTCACCCTATCTTTACCCCTTATCAACAGTAAAACTTTGATATAGAAGAAGAAGAAGAAGAAAAAGAGGATGAGTGAAGATGTCTGCTTAGTGATGGATCTCATCTTTTAGTTAGTTTATAGTTTGTTGCATTTTGTTATTGTTTTTATTGTTTAGTTTGTTAAATGTGAAATTTTGATTTGTATCGAATGTTGTGTTGTGAAATATAATTTGTAGAGATTTTGTTGATTTGAACTTCATTTTAGTACTGTTATTTGTTTTTAGTAGTTTGTTGTATTTATTTTTAGTTAACTCTTTCTCAGCAAATATTTTTTTATATATTATGAGATTTTTAATGTTTTAAGTCTTGTAGCTTTTCACATTAGCACTTGCAATATTTCAAAGTTAAGTTTTGAAAACAAAACCTTCAATTGGTAAGTCTTTTCTTTATGTAATAGATGTTTTCTTTCACCCTGTATTTTCAGCCATTCATGCTAAATCTTTTAAAAATTTAAGTTTGGGGGAAGAAAAATTCATTTTTAAAAAGAAAGAAACTTAGTTTTATTTGTCCTCAATGAGCTATAATTTAAAATTTTCAATTTAACATGACCTGTGTTAGAAGAGCCTAACCTTGGATAACTATATTTGTGTTTCTAAATATATAGTAAGCTTAAGTAAAAACTTTCAATAATAAAGATTAATTCTAGAAATTAAGGTATTTGGTATGAGAGAATAAGACTATGTTTTTCTATTTTAAGTAAAGGAATTTGTATTTTTGAAGTATTAAGAATCTTAGAGTTTCATGTAAGAAGAAAAGAATGAAACTTTATGAAAAATCTTCAAAGCTAATATAAATTTATAAAGTGAAGGAATGTGAAAAGTTTTTAACTTTAAGAAGAAGATAGTGAAGTTCAAAATCATTAAAGGCTATCTAGATATAGTAATCCTCACATAAAAAAGAGAGAAATGATTGAAAATGATCCTGAAAGAAAAGAAAAAGAAAAAAAAAGAAGAAAAGAAAAAAATAATATGTGAGGAGAAGCCTAATAAAAAATTGGCTTCACTTGAATCAACTTAAGGAAGAAGGCTTGACTACATTAATTAACTAGAGGGATACATTCCTCTAGGAGACTTTTGACTCCAAATAAAAATATTCTTTTTGGTTCTCTCTTTACATGCATCTTATGTAGATATTCTCTTCGTGGATGTTGTGTTTCAAGGTTTTTCGATCTGATCATGTTCAAACGTGAACTCTCGACCCATCACACGATAATTACCCCATATATAAGCCTTCTGCCATTATTATGTTATTTGTTTGTTTATTTGTTGTCGTATATCCTTTCAATTTGACTCTTCTTCTTTTATAATTATTTATATGATTCGGGAGAGAGATTATTCAAATAAGGGAATCATACGACGATACATAAATAGAAAAGCTTGCAACTTTGATTACTAAAAAGAACTGAGAAAAATATTTAGTAACTTGACAAATTCCGCCCCTTGTGTCGCCACCCTCAACATTACGAACGTTGCATAGTAGCATGCAACGGTGCTATTGTACTTTTATGATTGATTTTCTTGAATTTTTTCTGTTTTAATCATTGTGGCTTTTGCATAGTTGATAAAATGAGCGAGTGAGTTGTCATGATCGCCACTGTCGAGGGGAAATTTTGTTTCTTTTTCCCCAAGTATTTTTTGTGCCCCCGAGCGTGTAATCACCTTCGGTTCCTTCGAACACCCTATCTGGATTACCTTAGATAATCTCACGCCCGCCGAGGCTTCTGCTTTGTGCCCACCCACCTAAAATGGGATTCGTGCACCTGAGGTGGCTCACAACATGCCCACACCGTCCGCGAGAAAGAGGTCAGCGCTTGACAATGAAATGCTAAAACGCTTGTCTATCTTTTTCTGGCTATCAAGTCATCCTTCTGTGCTTCGTGGATCTCCTTGCCTACGGCTGGTGAGCCTTTCGGCAATTCTCAAACTATTTTTTTATTCCTACTTTTCCTGATACCCGTCGCTTCAAATCCCTCTGAGGCTACTCTAGCTCCCAGGTTGGGTAAAAGGGCCCAAAGTACCAAGAGTAGGTAGATCAACAATTGAAAATGTAAGTGTGATTTATTTCATATCATTTGCTTCCAAGAAAATATAAATAAATATATTTGTCGAATATTTTAGATAATTGAAAATTAGGATTTTTTATACTAATTTAACTCAAGAACTCAAATTTTTGACTTCATCTCGAACTAGAGTCAAATGTAATTTTAAGCTGGCTCGATGTAAACAATGTAAAAAGGATATGGCGACAGTTTTTGCTTGTTTTTTTTTTCTTGATTCGAGCAAAAGACCTATCAAATTTTGACAAATTTGTATGGGTCTCTATTTACTCCTCTAAGTTGAATCAAACACATATACATTTCATTCCAATCTTGAACCGACTAGATTTATTTCAAACCGAATTTTGGCCCAAATACTATTTGAATACTTCATTTCGAGTTTAATTTGAGCTAAAATCTTGAATTTTAAGCGTTTTTTTTATCAATATACAAAGTTCTTACTGATTTTCAAGCGTGTGTATATATATATATATATTACATATATACATCCTTGTAACCGGATTAAACAGAGACCCATAAATATCACTAATCAGTCATCAAATGTATTTCATTTTAAACTATTCAATAGCATCTACATCAAACTCACAAATATATCATCAGGTAATCAAATTCATCCATCATGAAAAATTTACAAGCCCGAAATATCTTAAACTTATTTGAAATCATGCATGCCACTATCATAAATGCAATGACAACAAATGATTTTAATCTTCCAAAAGATGATAATGTCATTTTTTAATTAGAAAAAAAAATTGAACCATAATTTTCCTCCCAAGAAAAAGATTAAGCAACAATAAACTAATCATGCCTATTAATTTATTGACCTTGAGAAACTGAAGATAATGCATTGAATCTGACTTGGTAAAAATGTGCGCGCAGCGTCGTCTGTTTGTAGGATGTGCATGAGTGCAAAGAGAGGAAGTGACGTAGGACAATCCATATCTAGAAATATAATAATAATAATAATAAATAAATAAATAAATAAATAAATAAATAAATAGAGAAATGCATAATAATAATAATAATAACAATAATAATAATAATAATAAAATAAATAAATAGAAAAACAATAGAACAAACAGCACATCTCTACCATAAGATAAAGCATGCTGCTAAAATAAAAAATATTTAAGGTTTGAGCAAACTCTAATCAAAATATCTTCACCAAAAATTTTGTTTCCAATGTAAGCACCAAGAATTGCGTTTACTTTACAATAAAATAAATTAAGAAAAAACTACGTTTATCTAGACTAGCTAGCGGGATATAACTGAACCGCACAATTCCAGTAGTATCCTTCATATGTAAAGGAAGCTGCTGTAAGGAAGAGATTAAAAAGCCTATTGGAGGCTTAGATCAACTAACATAGATCATTAAACTTATCCCAAGTAATCAAATTTGAGTTTTTGAATAATTACATTTATTTATATTGAATGTCATGGGATATCTTGAGACAGGTGAAACGGCTACCAGCGCCCTTTGAAAGATTTTCAACTAACATAGAAGCTGTGATGTGGTTGACTACAAAGCTCATTAGTTGGAAACAAAATGAAGAATCCAATATAGAAAATTAGAAAATAAATAAAATAAATAATAATAATAAAAAAGATAAGAAGCTGTGATATTGTATTTGTGTTCAAACAAAATGATGACATTTGATAAGGAAGCTCAATATTTAGTAGTTATGTTGTTGTAATAGCTCGTTTGGATTGTATTGGACTTGAAAGATATCTAGTAAGTCTCTGTAAGTGCTAACTAATCTTTGGAGGTATTATGGCATGAAAAATTGCAAAATAAAATGAACTAATCCCTATTGCTATGAGATTCTCCTCTTTCATTTGTTTAATTTTTTAATTTTTATTTTTAGGCTATAGATGGGGAACTAGGCATTGGCAAGGATCAATGTGAGTACCAATTATAACACAAAGGTTGCACAACCTAGCAAAATAAAGTGGAGAGGAAGAGAGATGACGATTTTAGTTTACCAATAACTCAAAAAAATGCAAGATTGAAAATGTATAAGAAAAGAAAATCAAATCAAGGAGCACTAGTCCATTTATTTTTCATGCTTTTGTACTACAAAGGAGGACTTAAATACTTGCATTAAGTCTAATACAACTAAAACTACTTGTAAAAATTATGTAGCTACTATAACTCACCTAATCTATTATAATTTCCTAAATCATCATATTTAGTAGTTGAAGTTGCAATAGAGGTATCGGTTGCACTCCAAAAGAAAAGTTGAATCGTAGGAATTATAGGTTAATGACACATTATATCCAACGAAATGATAAACTGGACAAACATAATCTTGTTTTAAAAACTTGATCTTAACTTCAAGCAGCCAAATGAGTCATTATGACCAATCACCCGGACGCATGACAAATGAAATTATTTGTAGTTTTGTTTCTCGAGATTTAAGAAAGGGACATTTATATACATAACACACAATGCTTACGCATATGCATATCTAACACATTGTGAAGATTGTAGTTTTGTTTCTCGAGATTTAAGAAAGGGACACAATGCATAGGGTTTTTTAAAAACACACAATGCTTATGCATATGCATATCTAACACATTGTGAAGAAAAACAGTTATATCTTTAATATTACCTAAGAAAACCATTATTACTAACTTTTTAGAATTGAAATATGCATTTTCATGCATAGGGTTATAACACATTAAGTCTTAAAATATCAAACTTTAGGTTTAATATATATAAATACATAGGAATTGTGAGGTACATATGAAAATTTCCCCTAAGAAAAAATCAAATTCAAATAGACATCAATTACTTGACCTTTCAATTTACCTTGAGTTGTTTTTTATAGAAATTTCGTAAGTGGTAGATTTAATACAATTTGTAACCAGGAGCTTTTAATATCATACATGAGCGGAAATTACAGTAATTGAGCCATCAGAATAACAAATCACATTGGATCATATGATAAGAATAATGTGGAACATAAATATTAATGTCCATGCTAACTCTTGCACACCAAAATTTTTTTAATTACCTAATTTGAGTCTCACATCCTAGCTATATCGGTATCCATACCGGTAGGTGTAAACTAATCGGGTCAGTCTGGCTGCTAAGAGTCTTGAAAGTTGTTACTACTGTTTAGGTTCAACTTGTTTACTTTATAATAAATCTCATCCTATGGATTAGAAAAAAAATTCGTTTTCATACAATACCTCTATTAATGTCTTTTTATACAGCAAAATTTACCATTACCGTGTTGAAATGATAAAAAACCGTAACCCACATACCATCCTAAACATAGGGTTGATTCCAGTGGCATTCAAAAAATTTTCTTCGATCACTTCATTAAAATAGAAAAGGGGCATTGGCATACATAGCACACAATTCTTATGTATTTACATATCTGTGACCTAAACTTTCATAATTACACAACTGGCACTCAAAACTTTAATATTACATCAAAAATGGCGCTATTACCACTTTTTAAAAATTAAATACACCTTTTCATTCAATGCAATATGTAAATATGGAAGTTCTTGTGAGAAAAATGTAAATCATAAGAATTATGTGTTACTTATACAAATTTTCCAAATAAAACAAGGCAAGTATTGTTATAAGGTAGCGCGCGCCAACAGTCCATAGTATTTAATATTTGATAGAAAAAACATTATACCAAATAAAATAATGTTTTAAGACTAACAATGTTAGAATGATATATGATAGTAGGAGAAAGAATTTTTTTGAGCATTCAATTGTAAAAACTTTTATGAGTTCTGGATTATTTCAGCTGGGAAGATTTTTATTAAATGTCTATTCAGTTTTAGTAAAATAACTCAATCAGACATTATAAATGCTAGTATTATAGTATTACACACCTTATATAAGATAAAAAAACTCCTGACTACTAGAACCATAAAAGCCAGTTAAATTTCCCATAAGTTAACAAGATAACAATAATAGAGTTTAGCAATAGTCTAACTCTAAAGTTTGTCAGTTATTAAAATTCTTACAAAGTTTTTGGTAGAGGAACAATGAAGTCAAATCTACTCTATAAAGGCACACAACTCTCCGAATATTAAACATAAAATATCAACGAAAATTTAACTCCAAGAGCATAGCTTGTTTTACTAAAATGAAGTTGATGAATGATAGGCAGTTCAAAAAGAGCCATCAGAATATCAATAAGAGCAAAAGTAAAAATATAACATCTGTTGTGTACCAACCATAAAGCAGAGAAAAGATTATAGATGCTTAAGTAGAGACTTAAACAATTGTAAAAAATAGATAGAACAGAAGCAAAACTACAACGAGAAGAGGACATGGAAATTCAATGATAATCATTTATTTACGTTTCAGTTATAATTACAGCTGTATTGTAAAAAAAAATGCCGTCACCAAATGATCATTTTTTACAAAAGAAAATAAGGTCATAAATAGATAGAACAGAAGCAAAACTACAAGGAGATAAAGACATGGATATTCAATGATAATCATTTATTGACATTTCATTTATAATTACAGCAGTGTTGTAAAAGAAATGTTGTGACCAATTGATCATTTTTTTTACAGAGGAAAATATTTTACATATGAAATACTTTCAAATGTATGCATACAAGTTGTCATCCAGTTATATGTAATCTAGAAATCTCAGAAGTCTGATATTCGTAAGCCAAGCCAAAACTAAATTGAGGGAATGGGACAAACATCTGAGATAAAAGGAAAAAGAGAATTGCAAGGTTACCTGCTGGATGGTGAACCACAAAAAGCACTAGCAAGTTGCTAGTCACCAAAAGATCGTAACGATATTTTTGAGTAGCTATAGTGTCAATTTCCCAACCCACTCCTCTACAACCCCATAGTCTATACTCAACTCTCTCAAAGGAGGAATATTTTCCATTGCAAAGATCATAAGATGGGGATATGAGACATTATAATGATCATACAGAACAAACTGCAAAAACACATTTGGGCTACAACTGTGGCTTAAATAACAAGCAATGTTCCTTGCTTTTGAAACATCTATGGAGAAGCTCAAATCAGGCAGATAAGGGTATTTTGGAGGCAAATAATCTGAGAAAACATCAGATATATCTCCCCATTCAGCCCATCTTCCTGGAAATCTATTGGGATACACCAAACTTTCACCAGCTTGAGAAAGCAGTTCTGTTTGCTTCTTTGTTAGCACTATCCCACTGAACTCACAGATGAAGGACCCAGCTCTAATCAAATCCAATGACCGAACACCCCACCCAGTTTCATTGGATCTAAAAACCTCTAACTGGTGCTTAAGCCCCTTCTGACTCACTCGGTTTGGGCAACTCAGGGGACACTGGCATGCTATACCACACTCATAAATCAATGGTTTTCCTCTCAGAAGAACTCCACTTCCTCCATAAGCAAATTCACCCCCGTTCAGAGTAGCACAATAGCAATTATCAGAACAATTTGTTCTGCACTCACACCCACCATTGCCCTCACCATTAAACTTCTCTTGGACATCAGGTGGATAAATTGGTCGAGCTAGGTATTCAAACTGCAAAGGATCCTGATCATCATCTAGGTCATTATACAGTGAAACAGGAACAGTTTCCTTCCCCATGGAGATATCATTACAGAACAAACCATTTTTCCTCACGCTCAAAGGATTAATTTTCAAGCTAAGTGACATTTTAAGAATAGCACTGCCCATCTCTTCTTGTCCCTCAATTCTCAGAAGCTTGTACTTGTATACACCAAATCCAGACTTTCCCGTATCCAGCCAGCAATCAACAACCTTATAAAGCCCATCATAGACATATAATCTCCCCGTTGGGCTCTGATCAAACTTTACTCCTCTAATCACTCGCACCTCAATCCCATACCTCATGCTTCTCTCAAGCCCTAAATTTCCTCCCTCAAGTTTCTGTGCATCACACATCTTATGCAGATTCCGGTCTCTTCCTCCATGACCTGTATATATCAGAACGTCCCCACCATCATCATCATCCTCGTAGCCACCTGAAACAATAATGCTGGTGGCAATAGGCTCTCCATTGCTGCTGCGGCTAGCAGGTACATAATCGATCCCAGCTTGGACCTGACCATGCAAGCCAATCACACAAAGCTCCATTCTAAAAAAGTAGACGTCCCCTACGAAAATCCCAGGTATCGAGCCAATAATCCGCTTATCCCTATTAAGCCATAGTCCGCGATCGGTCATTAACGCTGCGGTTTTAAGATCGGCACGACTTCTCTTTCCAAAAGCCCCCAAACCCTCTCCCTTCGCCTCGTCGCGGATGATCAAAACCCTAAGCGACTCGAAGGTGATCCTAGTGCGACGGACGAGGTCCCTGAAGTAGATCTGGTCCTGTTCGCCGAGGGAGGAGACACGTACCATCTCCGCCGAGCGAGCTTTCCGCTTCTTCGAAATAATTAACGTGGAGGATGGAGAGAGAGAGGGAGAGGAAGAAAGGGAGGACGACGGCGGGGGAGCCGATGCGAGAGGGTTGGGATGGGAGTTTGAAGAGGCGTAGGAGGCCATGAAGAGGTGAGCCAGCCGATAGAACTCCAAAAAAAGAGCTTCTTCGTCTGTGGCCGTCGGAGAGAGATGCAGCAGAGGAGTGTTAGGGTCAGTGAAGCGGACGATGCATAGTGAGTTTAGGTCTGGTGTGGAATTAGGATTCGGGATTTGTGGGATGGGCCCGATGTAAGAGTTGGATTCGCGAGGTTCTGATTTTGGCTCGATTTTGGGAGAGGGAAGTAGGTTGAGATCTAAGGACGAGGTGGGGGAAGCCATGGCGAGCAGAGAGAGAGAGTTCTTCCTGTCACAGGGAGGTGATTCAGAAGGATCTGATCGGAGGTTGATGCAGGAGTGGCACTGACTGATGGCCAACAAGAGGGGGGAGAGAGAGAGAGAGAGAGAGAGAGAGAGAGGTGAATGATGACGGGAGATAATTGTGATATTGTTTTATTTTTTGGGCATAATGATAATTTGAGGGTGGAGCAAACTCGCGAGGCAGTTCTATTGTGATGAGCGTCCGAGGAAAAGGCAGATGATGGAACTGGAAATGACGCTGCAAAGGGCAAGCTGGGAATAAAGAATGAGTACTGAGTACTGGCAGCCGAAAAATGAGCTATTTTCCGGCCGAAATGTGTGAAATGTCTTTTTTGCCATTTATTCCTTCGAAACGATAGGTTTTAGGTTTTGTTTCGATAATTTCATATATCACCGCTTTAAAATGGTCAAAAAATTAAGTGCTTGAAATGATTATTTTGGGTTTTTCGGTAGGGAACACTTTTCCTTCTCAGGAAAAATGCGATAACCAGCCCCAAGTAAAATTTGTTCTGTATATCGATATATATATATATATATATACATATATGTATATATATATATATATATAATAAAGGAAAAAGTATTTGTATTTCTTGATGCACTCATTCCATTATAAAAAAGATGGTATTCATACAAGTATTCTAAGATTTTGAATAGGAAAGAAAATAAATTAAAAGCTAAAATTAAGCCTAGACATCAGCATATGAAATCGGCGTTAATTACTTCATATAGGCAATTAATGTCATTACATCATATGAGGGCAATTAATGTCATTGATTTATTTTTTAACACACCTCTCTCAAGCTCATGATGGTATGGTGGATGTCATATTGAGTTTGCTCAGTAGATTTTAAAATCGCGTGGGAGGATGAGTTTTGGTGAAGATATCAGCTGTTTGGTTAGCAAATTAGGAGAAAAGTACAAGAAAAAAAAGCTTGTACTTGAGTTCATTATCCAAGCATATAGTTTGGTACATAAGAAGAGGCATTTTAAAGAAAATCATTGAATGATGTATTAGATTCAGACATATAGAGAAAGTGGCAAGTGAAGAATAAAAACAGTACAAAGATTATAGGGATGTGCCGAAAGAGGCATTGATATTTCTACTATATTCCATGTAGGATTTACAAGCCGTAATAATATCCCCTTAATAAAAACACAAAGTAGAAACCTGAGTAGAAGGTTTCATAAATGTAAGGATAAGATAAAGGAGTTAAAGATGAAGAGTTAGAGATGGAATGTTTACTCGATAAGCAGAGACTATTGTTAGTAGAAGCATAAGTTACATATTTTGTTTAAAAAAGGACACCCACAAAGATCATTTTAAAAAATGAAAGGAAAGGCTTCAAAACATCCGTAGAAAAAAATTCAAGCATTTTCCATAGCTTAATTAGAAGTTTCTCAATATTTTATAAAGTTTTGAGTTACATACTAATGTCTTCTCAGATATTGAGCAAGTGAAGATCATTCAATTTGTGTTTAACATGTGATATGGAGTAAGAGCCAAATACTTTAGGAAGATAAAAAAATTATGAGTCGAGAAAATGGACAAATAACAAAGGGAGAATTACTATTCAATTTGGATGTTGATATGATTTTTTCATTGATAAAAAAGTAAATCCACCTCAAATCATTCAATTGGTAGTTTGTAAAATTAAATAAAAAAAGCATAAAATTAAAATGAAATTGAAGATCCAATTCCAAATAAAATTTCTTCAAAGCTTGTAAGACTGGATAGGTTCAACTCTTTAACTACGCCCTACCTTCATTCTTTTATAGACTTATGTTGTCATCTATTTTTGAATCCCTTTATCTTCTCTTTTAGTGAAGATATTTAGCTATACTTATTCATTTAAGGCTTTTTCCCCTCACATACACTTCACTCCTCACATACACTTCACTTTGCACTTGATGCACACACAATACACACATACACATATTTTGAGTTTAGATATAAGTTCATTACACACCATCCTTTCCTTGATCAACTCTTAGGATGAATGTGAGTCCTAATTGGGTTCATTCCACTATCATTTATTAACATCATATATATATATATATATATATACATATATGTGTGTGTGTGTGTGTGTGTGTCATAAATTTATGTTTAAAATTATGTGTGTGTGTGTGTGTGTGTGTGTGTGTGTTTAAAATTAATATTGAAGTGAGTTCATAAATAATTTTAAATAAAATTGGTTTAATTCAACTTAAGAAATATTTAAGTTGGGTTATTTTTAATTCTGTTTTAAGTCATTTCCATCATTCAAATTATATTTTTATGGATTTTAAATTAATTCATATTAAAGTAATTTTAAATTTAATTTATTTAATGATCAACTTTATTTCTTTATGAGTTTGATTTAAGATGAGCCTCACCAAGTTATCCATATGCCAAGCTATAACACACCCAAGCTGAGCCCAAGGACCAGCTCAACTAACTCTTGGCCCACCATACCTAATTGGGTTAGCTTGATGTGACCTAGGTCTACCAGAGAATATTAAAACAAAATCAGCCACCTAGGTGTAATAGGGAGGAATTCTATATGTTGATGGGAATTGCCAAAGGGCTGAAGAAAAGCCACCAAAAATGAAATCAATAATGGTATAATTAAGAAAAACACATTTTTTTCTTGTAAAAGGTAGGGATATCAAAGACTACTAATTTGTGTAGTTTGGAGAATGGAGATTTATTTCCAAAGTATTACATTAAAAAAAGCAATGATAGGCATGCCATTTACATAGTATGTGGCTATGGAAAGGGCATATGAATATAATGTAAATGACTAATAAATGTGATGGGGATATTAAGGTTAAGTTCAATAAGATGTGATGACAACTTATAAATAAATCATTATGTTCTTCAAAGTGGATAGGTGGCATGAAGTGAAAGATGCACCTAAAAGTAAGGAAGGCCTTGAGAACCATGTATTCGTTATCATTATCCATGTAAAGATACCTAACAAGGAATTTGCTAGTATTTTCCCCTCAAAATTTTAAAAGTTTCAAAGGTGAACATAAAGTTAAATTTTTATTTAATAATGTAGAGCTCGATATAGAGAGAAAAGTGATAAGAAAAAAAATTAATTAAATATTAATAAATGTTATAAGTGATGGTTGGATAGGTTTATATGTCAAAATAGTGAAATTAAAATGGATACTTCTTTATATGGTATTAAAAGGCCAACATGGGTTTCATTATATTGGAATGAATTACAAATACACTGAAAAATAATAGAGTATATATGTACTATATTATTTGAGACTAATTTATATTGAATGACAGAGGAGAGGTGACTAAGATGACAATGTCATTAATTGATGAAAGCTTAAATGGTAGAAAAGAAAAGTTCATGCTCTGAGCGACTCTGCTTAAAAATGTCATATTTAATTTTACCAAGCATGAAGATTATTTCAAAGAATACTATTGATAAAAGAGGAATTTACTATAAATTGAATATAATTTTTTTATTTAGCAAAAAAAAAATTATAATTTTTGAATACTAGAAACTTATCAATAGAAGAGAAATCTTAAGCCTTGTTCAAAATAACTTCCCAACACACTCATAGATAGAAATAAAAGAGATAACAAAACTTTTTAGGGGGAAAAGTCCTTAAAAGGTTAAAAATCGCATATTCTGGCCTATTGAAATATTACACTAAGAAATTAAAAGTACATAGTTGTATAGAGGTCTACTCCTTTTAAATTAGGGAAGACCTTATTATAAATATTGACAAACATGATTATATAGTAGTAGTTTGACTACAATGACCATAATTTTGCTATAGCGGATGTATTGCTATAGCGGCTGTATTTGTTGGCTACAATAGTAGTAATTAGCAAAAAAAAAATGACTTAGTTGAGTTACAAAAAAGTATAGTTGGTGGCTAAAATAGTCGTAGTTGGCTAAAAGCTACAGTTGGTGGCCATAATAACCATAGTTAGCTGTAATAATTGCTGGTAGTGGTCATTCACATGCATTTTTTTTTATGATTAATCCTTTAGTTGTTAGCTTGCTCTTCTCTTCTCTTTCTCCCTTCCCTCTAGTGAAAAATTGTGGTCATTTACATATTGCTTGCAATTTCTCACATTCTCGGCTCTTCTCCTTGTAGGAATTCTCTTTCTATTTGTGGCATGTTCCATACCCACTAAACCCACTGTATAAAGCGTGCGGGGAGTGAAGAAGGGAGCGCGAGAACTAAGAGAGCTTAGCTATTATGGGAATAAGAAAGATTCGACTAGATGGTGATCAAAATCCATTTACATTTAAACATTCCCCCTTTATAGTGGAAGAGAGCTTAGCTATTATGGGAATAAGAAAGATTCAAATAGATGGTGATCAAAATCCATTTACATTTAATCATTCCCCCTTTATAGTGGTATATATATATATATAAGAAAAAAATATATGTTATTTTTATGCCCATACTCTTAGCGACATCTAGTTTCCTCTAGTCATATCATCATTTAAGTTAAGATCTTTCATGATGATATTTCATCCTCAAAATCAATTGGTTATGTTGTGAATGGGTTGCAAATCATCAACTTCCATTCTTATGTCTCTGAAATCTTGGCTTTGGCATTTGTTCTCAATGCATTTATGCATGTTATAATCAAATTTTTGAAAACTTGAAAAAAAAATGAATATTATGGATGCGGCTTTTATTGTGAATTATGACATTTCAGTAAGAATTTGACAACAGATGAGACAGGGTCCGAGTTTTATGAATCTCAACATTTGAGTGTTATGTGCCCTATCATTAGAGGATGGTTTGAGGACTTCGGGCGATGTGGGCCATGTGGCTACTTGGTGTAATAGTAGTGGAATTAGGTATGTTGTTTGGAGTGGCAATTGTAGGAAGGTATGTGAGCTAATTTGGTTCAATGCCATAGAGTGTTGCAGATCGCACCACCATCTTATAAAATTTTCCTTTGAGCCTAAGCGTTACTTTTCTATCACATAATAGGCCCAAAGCCTTCCTCAAGTTCAACTAACCAACTTGAATTCTGTTAATAACATCCCCATTTATATCACCATCACCTTGAATAATAGACCCAAGATTTCTAAAGCGTTCACACCTTTTAATAATTTGATTGCCGATAATTACAACTTTGTCACCAGAGCTATTACTACTAAAATTACATTTCATGTATTCGGTTTTAGTTCCACTCAGACGAAGGCTTTTAGACTCCAAA